AGAAAATACATACTTTTGTGTGAACAGTGGAAACAAAGCCAGGGTTCTCTGCAGTCGTGCACGATCATCAAGTGTCACTCACTCCATTCCTGCACTGTCAGCAGTTTAGCGACACTCGTCCTAACACCGTGCTTCAAGGAGGTTTCATATATACTCTAGCATGTCTAAAACATTGCTGAGACCTATAAATACTTTGTATATACGTATTTCTAGACAGTAGTAAATGACCAAGACAGATGAAAATGTTCACCTGTCAGTGTAATTGTGACTATTTGAGTACTATTTCAGTACCTAATATTAGTGTCAGAACAGAGATTGGCTATGAAATCAAAAGAACTATTATAAGTTGTAATTATCAGAACATAAAAATTATATAAATTAAAATAAAAACAAAAAAAAGGTACATCAGCAACACTTCTGCAAGCGGCAGGATTCTATGTTGCCGTCAGATAAACATCCAGTGCCAACTACGCGTTTTTTTTTATCTTATATTCAGAGTGTTGGGCGAGTGAACGTATGTCTACGTTTGGACAGTTTAAGGGTTAAATTATGGGGAATCAGATACAAAATGGGAGTTGACACAGTTACTTTTTGCTGATGATACTGTGCTTTTGGGGATTCTAAAGAAAAGTTGCAAAAGTTAGTGGAGTTTGGGAGGGTGTGTAAATGTAGGAAGTTAAAAGTGAATATAGATAAGAGTAAGGTGATGAGGGTATCAAACGATTTAGATAAAGAAAAATTGGATATCACACTGGAGAGAGGGAGTATGGAAGAAGCGAATGTTTTCAGATATTTGAGAGTTGACTTGTCAACAGATGGGTTTATGAAGGATGAGGTAAACCAAAGAATTGATGAAGGAAAAAAGGTGAATGGTGCGTTGAGGTATCTGAGGAGACAAAGAACGTTATCCATGGAGGCAAAGAAGGAAATGTACGAGAGTATAGTGGGACCAACACTCTTATATGGGTGTGAAGCATGGGTTGTAAATGCCTCAGCAAGGAGGTGGCTGGAGGCAGTGGAGATGACGTGTCTAAGGGCAATGTGTGGTGTAAATATTATGCAGAGAATTCGTAGTGTGGAAATTAGGAGGTGTGGAGTTACTAAAATATTAGTCAGAAGGCTAAAGAGGGCTGTTGAGGTGGTTTTGTCATTTAGAGAGAATGGAACAAAGTAGAATGACTTGGAGAGTGTATTAAATATGTTGGGGAAGGAAGGCAGGGTAGGGGTCATCCCCACAAAGTTTGGAGGGAGGAGGTAAAGGAGACTTCGTGGGCGATGGACTTGAACTTCCAGCAAGTGCGCGTTAGTGTGTTAGATAGGAGTGAATGGAAACGAATGTTTTTTGGAACCTGACTAGCTGTTGGAGTGTGAGCAGGGTAATATTTTGTGAAGGGATTCAGGGAAACCGGTTAGCCTGACTTGAGTCCTGGAAATGGGAAGTACAATGCCTGCACTTTAAAGGAGGAGTTTAGGATATTGGCAATTTGGAGGGATGTCTAGACTGTCGTATCTGAGCATCTCTGCAAAGACTGATTTTGTATAAGTGATGGTGAAAGTTTTGAATGATTAAAGCTTTTTTTTTTTTTTCTTTTTGGGTTTTTCTTTCTTGACTCGTGAAATCACACTGACACGATTGCAAACAAACCATACCTTGGGTGGGGATAGAACCTGTGAATAGAGAGTCGATCTGGAGTTTTATGACTCTGATCATGGGTTCTATCCCTGCCCGTGGTATGGTTTTTTTTCCCCCCCCCCCTTTTTGTGTCACCCTGCCTCGGTGGGAAACAGCCGATGTGTTAAAAAATATATATATATCCTTGTATGATATACACCACTTCCCACAAATGGATGTAATATTTTGTATATTTTCTATAAAGCTTAAACAGTTACCTTAAGAAAATATTGAATGATTATTCATTGTAAATGCAAAAGTACCATCTTATTCACTTATATGTGTAATAATTATATTTTAATGACCGTGTTTATTTTCAGGAAAAGTTGAGCTTGGCTGAGGGTAGAATGAACAAACAGATACATGCCATGGACATTTATAAAAAAAAAGAGAAAGAGCTTCAGAAAGTTAAAAAAGAAGCTGAAATGAAGCTTAAAGCAGCAAGTGAAAAGCTTGAAAGACAGTTGGAACGAGCCAGTGACTTTCAACCTCGGATGGACACAGTCAGGTCAGGATGCCACAAATTCCCTCTTAATTTTATAGGAGCTTCTGCTCCTCTTTCTAACTTAGTGCATGTTCTAGACCAGGGGTCTCCAGCTTTTTTCACTACAAATGCCACATTATATATTGTACACATATTTTGATGGCCCAAGAAAAAATCAGTCAAATAAATATAAATTAATAAAATTTAAATTAATAAATAAGTGACTGACAATGGGGGTTCATTAATTTTATTAATTGACTTACAAGAAGGTTCATTAGTTTTATTATTTATAAATACAGTGGACCCCTGGTTTTTGTCCTTAATCCATTCCAGAAGGTCAGTCAAAATCCAGAATGGACGAAAACCAAAGTAATATTTCCCATAAGAAATAATGTAAATCCAGTTAATTCATTCCGGACACCTAAAAAATATTAAAAAATAAATTAATAAAACTAGGCATTAAAAAACACAAAAAGTAAAATACATTCACAGTACATTTATTACTTGCCTTAAAATATTTGTAGTCTTAATGTAGGGCGAGAGGCGAGAAGTATTTGTAGGAAGTCAGCGTAGGTAGCTGGTAGGTGTAGCCCGCCTGGGCTTCACCTACCGGGTACATACGCTGCGGCCCAGAGCCATATTATTACCATTGACATACCATGTTCACTGAGTTTAATTGCTTCTAACAGCTACCTTTAGATACCATCATAAACAAAGGGAGAAGTAATGAATAATTCATGCCGAGAATTGTAAACAAAAGCGTTATGTATTCAAGGTGGTAACTGGGCCAGCGCAGATTCATACACGTTTTCTCTAAAGCTGGACCAGAGACAACGTAATGTTTTCCCTCCCTCCCCTGCTAATCAAGGTAAGAATATTCTGGTTGTGGGAGACTCTTAGGTAAGATATATGGACCGTGCTTTTTGCAACAGAGATAGGAGGGTCAAACGGGGTGTGCCTTCCAGGACCTGGTGTTGGTGACAGTCAGCATGTTGGATAATATTATGTCAGGTAATGGGAACAAGTCCATTATCTGTCTTAGTGCTGGTGGTAATGACATTGGGAAGGGCAGGAGACAGGAGCTACTGGATAAGTACAGGTCAGCCATAGAAGTAGTCAGGTCTAAGGGAGGGATCCCAATCATATGTAGCATCTTGCCTAGAAAGGGAGTGGACAATGAATGGATGTCTAGGGAATTTGGTATAAATTGCTGGCTAGATAGGTACTGCAAGGAACTTGCAATCCCATTCATTGATAACTGGAACAAATTCTATGGCAAACGTGATATGTATAAAAGAGATAGGGTTCATCTCTGGGGACTGGAGTGATTGCATTAGCCAATTCGATTGAGGGGGTAATTGATGACTTGTCTAGGACTTTAAACTGTTAGATTATAGAGGTATGGGTGTTTGTGGGAAACAATCAGGCTGCAGTATTAGGGTTGAAAATAGCAGATATTACCAGGAAACCTCAGGGATATGTTTAAAAGACAGTATTCAAAATAAAATTGCTAGTAAAGGCAAAGCATTTGATTAACAAACAGAGAAATAGTAGAGGGTAACGAGTGATGAGCTCCCTTAAGGTTTACTATACAAATAGTAGGAGTCTAAGAAATAAGATAGATGAGCTAAGATTACTTGCAAGTGCAGGTAATATAGATATTATTGGTATAACAGAGACCTGGTTCACCTGAAAGATAGAGAAATGCCTTCTGAATGCAACATATAGGGTAATAAATTTTTCCACACTGATAAGGTCAACAGGAAGGGTGGTGGAGAGGCGATGTATGTCAGAGATAATTTAAATTGTTGTGTTATACAGTATATAACATTAGAAACCTGTCACCCTGTCACCCTGCCTCGGTGGGAGACGACCGACTTGTTGAAAAAAAAAAAAAAATTAGAAACATCGGACACAGAATCTGTTTGGCTACAGTTTCTCGAGGGTCTTGACAAATTAATTCTGGGTGTGATTTATAGGCCTCCAAACCTTGATAGGGAGTGCAGTAAGCTGTATGGGACGAAATTCATAAGACGTCTAGATGTGAAAATGTTGTGTTAATGGGAGATTTTAACTTTAGACAAATTGATTGGAATAATATGACAAGAAATCTTGAGTCTAGTGACTTTCTTGATACTAGAGGAAACAGTCTGCTTGACTTGGTTCTTGCCAACAAAGAATCACTAATTAATAATCTTGAGGTTAATGATGAGCTTCGGGAAAGCGATCACAAATCACTTAATTTCAATATATCATGGAATTACACAGATAATTACAATCAAATATCTGTCCCAGACTTTCACTTGGCTGATTTCATGGGACTGAGAAATTACCTGGGTGGGCTAAATTGGGATGACCTGACTATGGGTCAGGTAGGTGGTGTTGGTTGCCAGTATGACAACTTTTGTTCCGAATAGAGAAATTAGATCTAACAAAAATTATCCCAGATGGATGAACAATAGATTAAAACATCTCATTGGTCAAAAGAGAGGCATATATAGGCATATCAAAAGAGGGGATGGGCAGCTAAGAAATCAATATGTTCAATTAAAGAGAAAAGTAAAAAAAGAAATAAGAAAAGCTAAAAGGGATTACGAGGCTAAGGTTGAAAGGGATTCGAAGACTAACCCAAAAGGGTTCTTTCAGGTATACAGAAGTAGATTAGGGACAAGATAGGCCCACTTAAGAGTAACTCAGGTCAGATCACTGACAGTGATAAGGTAATGTGTTAAGTTTTCAATATTTACTTCCTCTCAGTTTATACCCAGGAAGATACTAGCGAAATTCCAGAAATAATAAATTATTCAAAAGGACGGTAATAAACTACGCACGATTGGGGTAACTAATGACATGGTCCTCAGACAAATAGAGAAAATAAAACCTAATAAATCCCCAGGCTCTGATGAATTGTTTGCTAGAGTTTTTAAGGAATGTAAAGAGGAACTTTGCTAACCTTTGGCTAATCTTTTCAATATATCACTACAAACTGGCATAGTGCCTGATAAGTGGAAAATGGCAAATGTAATACCTATTTACAAGGCAGGTGACAGGTCCTTAGCTTTGAACTATAGACCAATAAGCCTTACCTCCATAGTAGGAAAATTTGTGGAATCAATTGCCGAAACAATTCATGGCCTTCTTGAAAGGTATAAATTGATTAACGAATCTCAACACAGTTTTACAAATGGGCATTCCTGTCCTATGGATTTACTAACTTTTTTCACTAAGGTATTTGAGGAGGTAGATCATGGTAATGAATATGATATTGTGTATGTGGACTTCAGTAAGGCTTTCAATAGCATTCCACACCAGAGGCTATTGAGGAAACTTAAGGCACATGGAATAGGAGGAGAAATTTTTCCTGGGTAGTGGCATGGTTGACAGATAGGCAGCAGAGTTTGCATAAATGGGGAGAAATTAGAATGGGGACACGTCACAAGTGGTGTTCCACAGGGGTCCGCATTGGGTCTGTTGTTCACAGTATACATAAATGACATAGATAAGGGAATAAATAGTGACATAAGCAAATTTGCTGATGATACCAAAATAGTCCATCGAAGTCATTCTAATGAGGACATTAGAGCACTCCAGGATGATTTGAATAGACTGATGCAATGGTCGGAGCAGTGGCAGATGCAATTTAATATAGACAAATGCAAAATTCTAAATGTTGGACAGGAAAATAATCATGCCACATATAAACTAAATAATGTAGATCTTAACCCTTTGACTGTCTGCAACCCCCAATCCTGAGGTGTCTCCTGGTGTCTCAAAATTTAAAAAAAAAAAAAAAAAAAAAAATCTTATGAAATGATAGAGAATCTTTTCCCAATTGTAATGACACCAAAAAAAAAACGAAATTTGATGGAAAACTGATGGAATTATGCTCTTGTGAAGTTAGCGACCTCGGTGCTGTTTATAAATCGGTGATTTTGCCCACTTTGAGCCCTATTTTCGGCTAATTCCATTGTTCCAGTTGCCGAAACTGATCTTTTCTTTTGAACCCTTTTTTTCTATCGTTGAGTACAAAAAACTGCCCATTTACCAATTTCAATACCAAATAATATGGTCAGAAATTTAAATTTGGGCCCAAATTTTACGAAAACTAAAAAAAAAAAAATTTCAAAAAAAGGGCCAAAATGAACAATGCAGACATTCCGGGCTCAAAAATAACATTTTTTTTTGCTCATCATCTGTCCCAGGCCCCTCTGAATTACTTTTTGCTTCATTTTGAATTTTTATTCAAAAAAAAAAGAAAAACTTACATTATGCAGACTACTGAAATACTGTAAAAATTGTAAAAAAAATAAACCCATTCATGACTGCATATTAAAGGGCTATTGGACATTTTTTGGCAAGGGCATCAATTTGTTTACTTTTGAACATTGGAAAAAATCAAACATTTCCCCCTACTTTGAGCTCCCATTTCTGGGTTCTTTTTATAGAAAATCAATAAAAAAATCACCTCTATTTCTATATAGTTTTCCATTCATAAAAACGAGACCAAGAAAATGAGAATACAACCATAAATACTTACAAAATGACCCCAAAGTCGGCATTTTAATAAAAAAAAAAAAAACGGGGGGAGTTTTTTTTTTTTCATTATGCACTGCGTGCTAGGGTTTTTTTTTTTTTATGGGCACACTACCCCCCAAAAAGACCCATTCCTCAAATGTGGGTACCGTTTCTCCTGCTTATTTGAAGCCGCTAGAATTTATGAGTATAATAGTCAAACCGGTACCTTGTAAGACGTTATATACGGCCCCCGACGCAAAGGGTTTTTACTACTGATTGCGAAAGGGGTTTGCGAGTTCTGGTTAGCACAATCTGAAACCAAGACAACAGTGCATTAGTGTTTGCAATAAAGAACAGAATCCTTTTGGCTTCATATCAAATATAAATAATAAAGTCCTCAGGTGGTTTAACTCTATATATCCTTGGGGTTGGCCTCATTTAGATTATGCTGCCAGTTCGGTCAACGTATTACAGAATGGAAAAAATGGGCTAGGAAAAGTACAGCGGGGGGAGAGAAATTGCCCATTATCAGAATCCCCAATGAGGATAGATTGAGATCCCGAATCTGCACTCTCTAAAAGGATAGAATTTGGGGGGGTATGATTTTAGGGGTTAAATGGAAGAAACGAAAATAAAGGGGATGAAAAGATGCTGAAAAAATTTCCCCCAAGACAGGACTCGCCAGCAGTGGTTTCAAGTTGGGGAAAAATTTAGATTTGGGAAGGGAAAGGAAGCACTGGTTTGGTAAGAGTTAGGATTAGTGGAACAAGCCCCCAAGTACCATATAGAATGAAAACGTTTTTAGTTTTAAAAAAATTGGTTAGATAAATACATAGGGGTGTGGGTGGGGGTGAGTTGGACCCGACTAGCTTGTGCTACAGGTCTGATACTGTGCTCCCTTTCCCTTTAAATGGGAAATGAGACTAGGTGGGTATTGGGCTAAGCCGGGGTGACGGCCCCGCTTCTCATGGGGCATAGGCCTGCTGCAGTATTCCTTCTTTCTTTTTTCATTGTTTTTTAAAAATTTTGAAAAAAATTCATAGATGGATTAATGAAGATGTCTATATTAACATAAAATAAGACATTATTGTGCCCAAGAGTGATTATTATTAAACATACATAGCACATAAACATTGCATGTTTATATGCTACGTAATGTGTTTCTTACATAATTTTGAAGGAAATATCATAGATGGATTAATGAAAATGTCTATTAATGTAAAAAAAAAAAACATTTAAAGTCCGGAGTAGTCACGAATACGAGCGGCCCTGAGACACATCTGGTTCTGACGATTTCTGAGCGGATGTACGAAACCCGGGGTAAAATTTTACCAAAAAGTGGTCGAAATCCGAATTGTACAATTTCCACACGGGATGATATCTGGGGGTCCACTGTATTTGAAGTTGCTGCGCATGACATGCGAGCCACAGTTTGCCAACCCTTGTCCCAGATTGTGACGTGTAACTGTTTGCCCACAGTCAAAGCTGTGGGCAAACAAGTTCTTGGAGAATTTTTAGACGACTCTTAATATGAAGAGTTTGGTATTTTTTTTTACTGATTTAAGACTGATTTGGGACTGTCTTTATTGTTTGTGTGAATGATTATGCCACTATTCATAAGTCTCTTAATTTCTGCAGTACACTGGTTGGGAAGTGCTGCTCTAGATTATTTTCTGTGCTTTCTTTTAAAATATTGCAGCATGCCCTTCTGAGAACCAAAAGTGATTTGATGATTATTGTCTTCCTGCTCATATTGGTGTTAGTACTGCTTTTAATGTACTTTTTTAAAAGTCTTGGCACAATATATGACTGGTGCTAAAAAAAATAATTATAGTGTAGATGTAACTTTAAATAATTAAAACGTAATAATTTCAGGAGCGTAGAAGAAATACAACGGCAATATAGTGGTCTTGAAGCGAGACTAAACAAAGAAAGGGCACAAGCTGGTGACCCGTTAAAAATAGCAGAAAGATACAAAGCCACCAAAGAAAGATACAGTGCAGTGTCTTCAGAAATAGAATCCCACAACAATTTAATAAAGGTTTGTAAATAATGCTATCCTCAGTTGGCTATGAAAGCTCATTATATATATACACACACAATATATGTATATACATTGTATATATTTTTCCCCTCAACAGCTATCTCCCACCAAGGATAGACAAAGAAGGAATTTGGTGAATTTGTTTCCTTTTTGAATCACCCTGCATTAGTGAGAGAGAGCCATTGAGGTAAAAACCACATAATATAATGTTATAAAATATAATATTAATATTGATTATACAGTATTAATATATAAATATTGTAAATTTCAGAAGATTAAAGAGAGTGTGTCTGTGAGATTGGGTCAATTTAAATACTTCCGAAAATTGCTGTCAATAATGATCAAATCTACTTTCAAGTCTTCTCTCGTTGTTCGCAAGCTCAATGTAAGTATTACCACTTCCATCATCATTCAGCCTAGCCTCACACTGTAATACCACTTACTGTATCGTCCATCATTCAGCCCAGCCTCACGTTATAGTTCCACATATCTTCGATCATCTTTCAGCTCATCCTCATATCACACAGTATCCTCCATCTTCATTCTTCCCAACTTCAAATTGTTTCATATATCTTTCATCACCATTCAGCTTAGCCTCACATCATAGCACTGTGTCATATATCAGGATATGTCAACTGTGATATCTTGCCTGCATTCCATGGAGTACAGTTTGAGGGATTTTAGGCATTGCCAGTTGCTGAGATGTTTTGGTTGAATTGATGTGACCAGTGAAAATTCACTATATGCTCTCCAAGTCTTCACTTTCACCAACCATAAATGAGACTCCTAGTGTACTGTAATATTCCAATTTAGAGAATATAAGTTCCCATTCTGCTTTGGTGAGATTTGAGATACTGCTGGTTTGTTAAAAAAAAAAAAAAATCCTTAAAGGGTATCAGTATTGACTTGTGAATATAATAGTCTCTCCTCACTTACCAACAGAGTTCTGTTCCTAAGACCACGCTGGTAAACGAATTCATCGCTAATCGAGGAATCACCCTTTACTGACACTTCAAAAGTGTCACTACCCAAATTAAAACATTCAGTTTTATGTTTGCTGGGAAATTCCTTTCAATCTGCTTGTTATTAATGATAATACAACATGAAATAGGTCAATGACCTACTCCAGGAAACACATGCATAGCCGATTACTTGGGATATTTTTTTTTTTTCGAGAAAATTACACTTTTTCAGTCTGCATAGGATTAGTGATTTATAGTTATCCATCAGGCGTATAGAGTGTAACATTTTCTGTAATGGTTGCAGTCACCTTTTTTTTTTTTTTTTTTTTATCCCTCCACCCTTCAATACCTCTCTATATAATGTTAGTTTTTATTAACTCTTTCACTGTTGAGACCCCTGCTCACAAACTTGCTCTCAGTGTCAAAGAATTTTCAAAAAAAAAAAAAAAAATTTTCTTATGAAATGATAAGAGAATCTTTTCCTGATGGTAATGGCACTAAAAGTACAGAATTTGATGGAAAACTTATGGAATTGCTCTCTCGCAAAGTTAATCTCGGTGACACATAAGCATAAGCGATTTCTCCCACTTTGAGCCCTATTTTCGGCCGATTCCATTGTTCCAGTCAACCAAATTCATGGCTATTTTGCTAGAACTCCATTTGTTCTCTCGACTGAGTACAAGACACACCCATTTACCGATTTCAACTACCCAATAAAGTGGTGAGAAATTGGCAATTTGGTCAATTTCACACAAATTTCAAAAATGCCACTTTCAAAATAGGGTCCAGAATAAACAATGCAGACATTCCTGGCACTCAACATTTTCTCTGTTCATTAGTCATGTCTCCAGGCCTCTTATATTACACTTGTTTTCTATTTTGAATTTTTATTTACACAAAAAATAGAAGATTCCCATATGTTGCATAAGTGTCTCGATCTTCAACTTATTGGACTCACGAAATCGTAATGACACGATTGCAAACAAACCATACCATGGGTGGGGTTTGATCCTGCGGTCAGAGAGTCTCAGAACTCCAGACCGTCGCGTTAGCCACTGGACCAGCTAGCCACAATAAGATTCGTCCAACTAGGTATATTTCTACACCATAGGAAGGTTAGCATAGGCACCACTGTGACCACAAATGCAAGTTTTTACAGACGAATCTCCAGCTAGCGTGGCCATGACAAACTCTAGCTCAAGTCCCCTCAAAGCTGTTAACATGACTCATGAAATCATAATGACACAATTGCAAACAAACCACACCACGGGTGGGGTTTGATCCTGCGGTCAGAGAGTCTCAAAACTCCAGACCGTCGCGTTAGCCACTGGACCAGCTAGCCACAATATACCTATTTATTTATTATTTATTATCACACTGGCCAATTCCCACCAAGGCAGGGTGGCCCGAAAAAGAAAAACTTTCACCATCATTCACTCCATCACTGTCTTGCCAGAAGGGTGCTTTACACTACAGTTTTTAAACTGCAACATTAACACCCCTCCTTCAGAGTGCAGGCACTGTACTTCCCATCTCCAGGACTCAAGTCCGGCCTGCCGGTTTCCCTGAACCCCTTAATAAATGTTACTTTGCTCACACTCCAACAGCACGTCAAGTATTAACCCTTTGAGGGTCCGTCCCGTAGATCTACGGCTTTATGTTCAGGGTCCAAACCGTAGATCTACGTCATGAGCTCAGCTCACTCTGATAAACTGTGAGTGGTACATTTGGGCCTAGATATGAGAGAATACATCTATGTGGTATGTGTGCACCACATAAAACAGATCCTGCAGCACGCTGTGTATAATGAGAGAAAAAAACTGAAATCATGATTTTTTGATTAAAACAGTGACTTTGCAGTGTTTTTTCGTATGTTTTTTATAGTTCTATTTGCGATTTCTTGGTCTCATTTGATAGAATGGAAGACATATTACAGAAATAGAGATGATTTTGATTGGTTTTAGCAGTGGAAATGGCTTGAAACTGAACTCAAAGTAGTAGAAATGTTAAATTTTTGCCAATATTCAAGAGTAAACAAATGACCTCACACGTCTAATACACGCCAGCTGGTGGGTCTAATATGCATTCACAAATATGGTGATGATATTTATACAATTATTACAGTATTGCATAACAGTAAATCTTCTATTTTTTGGTGTGAATAAAAATTCATTATGTGAATAAAAAATCAAAATGGAATTTATTAGTAAAGCCTCAAAACATAACTAATGAACAGAGGAAATGTTAGTTTAGTTCCAGGAATACCTACATTGTTTGTTCTGGACCCTATTTTGAAATTGGAATATTTTGAACTTTGTGTTAAATTGGCCAAATTAACAATTTCCAATCACTTTAATTTGTAGTTGAAACAGTTGACTTGGCGATTTCTTGTGCTCAAGCGATAGAATAGAAGTAATACTAGTGAAATAGCTAAGAATTTGGTTGACTGGAATAATGTAATTGGCCTAAAATGGGAGTCAAAGTCGGCAAAATCGCCGATTCGTAAATATCGCTGACACATCAAAATTTGCGAGAGCATAATTTCGTCAATTTTCCATCAAATTTCGTACTTTTTGTTTTATTACCTTCACAAAAAGATTCTCTACCATTTCATAAGAAAAAATAAATTTTTTCTTTAAATTCTTGGACACTGGGGCACCACTTCAGATTTGGGCCTTGGACCCTGAAGGGGTTAAAAACCATTCGTCTCCATTCACTCCTATCAAACACGCTCACGCACGCCTGCTGGAAGTCCAAGCCCCTCGCACACAAAACCTCCTTTACCCCCTCCCTCCAACCTTTCCTAGGCCGACCCCTACCCCGCCTTCCTTCCACTACAGACTGATACACTCTTGAAGTCATTCTGTTTCGCTCCATTCTCTCTACATGTCCGAACCACCTCAACAACCCTTCCTCAGCCATCTGGACAACAGTTTTGGTAATCCCGCACCTCCTCCTAACTTCCAAACTACGAATTCTCTGCATTATATTCACACCACACATTGCCCTCAGACATGACATCTCCACTGCCTCTAGCCTTCTCCTCGCTGCAACATTCATCACCCATGCTTCACACCCATATAAGAGTGTTGGTAAAACTATACTCTCATACATTCCCCTCTTTGCCTCCAATATACCTAGTTGGACAAATCTTATTGTGGCTAGCTGGTCCAGTGGCTAACGCAACGGTCTGGAGTTTTGAGACTCTCTGACCGCGGGATCAAACCCCACCTGTGGTATGGTTTTTTTTTTTCAACTTATCGGTTTTAAACTATTTATCACATCTGTCAGACACTGCAACATCATGGAATCTTGATACAAAGAATTCTTCAACCTTGTCTAACCTTTGGACAAAGACCTACTTCGACTAGTGGATAATACAGTGGACCCCCGGTTCACGATATTAATCCGTTCCTGAGAGCTCATAGTAAACCAAAATTATCGGAAAGCGAATCATTTTTCCCCATAAGAAATAATGGAAATCAAATTAATCCGCGCAAGACACCCAAAAGTATGAAAAAAAAAAATTTTTACCACATGAAATATTAATTTTAATACACACAAACTGAAGAAGACATGCACAGTTACATGACACTTACCTTTATTGAAGATCTGGTGATGATTGATGGGATGGGAGGAGGGGAGAGTGTGGATGGTCTTAGTATTTAGAAGGGGAATCCCCTTCCATTAGGACTTGAGGTAGCAAGTCCTTTTCCGGGGTTACTTCCTTTCTTCTTTTAATGCCACTAGGACCAGCTTAAGAGTCACTGGACTTCTGTCGCACAACATATCTGTCCATAGAGGCCTGTACCTCTCGTTCCTTTATGACTTTCCTAAAGTGTTTCACAACATTGTCAGTGTAATAGTCCAGCACGGCTTCCAATAGCTGTGTGAGGGTGATTTTCATCCATAAAGGTTTGCACTTCAAGCCACTTTGCACATATTTCCTTAATTCTTTGAAGTAGGCAACTTCTTCAATTTCTCTCTCCCCTCCTCCAAAGCAGTTTCCTCAGGTGTGGCCTCTTGCTGTTGAAGATGATCTAGCAGCTCATCAGTGGTTAGTTCTTCATTGTCCTCCTCCACCAAATCTTCCACATCTTCCCCACTAACCTCCAACCCCGAGGACTTCCCCAATGCCACAATGGATTCCTCAACTGGCATAGGCTTCTCAGGGTTAGCCTCAAACCCTTCAAAATCCCTTTTGTCTACACATTCTGGCCACAATTTTTTCCAGGCAGAGTTCAAGGTCCTCTTAGTCACTCCCTCCCAAACCTTACCTATAAGGTTTACACAATTGAGGATGTTAAAGTGATCCTTCCAAAACTCTTTTAGAGTCAGTAGTGTGTCTGTGGTCACTTCAAAGCACCTTTCAAACATAGCTTTTGTGTACAGTTTCTTGAAGTTGGAAATGACCTGCTGGTCCATGGGCTGCAGGAGAGGAGTGGTATTAGGAGGCAAAAACTTGAC